AGTCACACGCACACACACACACACACACACAGACTCAGTCACTCGCACACACGTGCACACACACACACACGAGCACACACACATACTTGTATTTGTGGTTTACGGGGACTCTCCATAGGCGTAATGGTTTTTATACTGTACAGACCGTATATTCTATTGCCCTACACCAACCCTACCCCTAAAACACACTCTCTCTCTCTCTCACACATACACTCACTCAGTCACTCGCACGCACACACACACACACACACTCACTCTCTCACTCACACTCTCTCTCACACACACACACACAGTATGTCAGTCAGTATGTTTGATGATCTGACACGTATGAATGTAGTGAACACAGTGAATGTATGATATCTGTAATTCTCTGTTTCCCTGTAATTAGCGCTGCTAGAACAGCAAAACTGACTGCTTAATACGAATATCACAAGCTCTGTAAAAACAGGAAATCACCTGAACACCTACAGGAAGTGTCCTTCACTACAGCAGCTGACCCGAAAAAAACAAGCAAAAATGAAAAAGCCCTTTGTGGACGATCTGCTGAGCGCGCTTACGGTCACTCTGTTTATGATGGACGAGAGTCTGAATGGAAAACAGCAGGAATAAATCTTGCATTTGCATCATTTTTTTAAGTACAAATCATGAAGCAGTTATTCTTATGCAAAATAATGCTTGTGTATTGGTGGCAAGACTGTACATGTGGCTGTTGTGTAAGCGTACATGAGTTTGTGTGTTTGTGACACTGAATTAGTGCCTTTGTTTCCTAACAAAAGCTCATTATGTTCTGCTCATGGCCGAATGAAACGCTCCTTGTTTTCAAACTGTCGAGCAGCATTCAGATCAGCAGCTCTTATGAATCAATGAGACTTCAGACTCACTTTACTCTGGACCACAGAAGCAGAGGAAGCTGTTCAGCGCTCTGAAGAACAGGGAAACCGTACTTCATCTGAGTTCCCATGACTCTCAGTTGCAAACAGCCTCGTTTCACTGAATAACCACAGATTTCATGTTTCAAGCCATATATTCATCAGTCCAAAAACACTGGAGTCAAAAACAAAAGACTCGGAATGACTAGTCAGGTTAAAGCTGCTGTACAGTATTTGTACAGTAGCACAGATGGTGTGACGCATCGCTTGCTGTTATATAGCGTGTACGGCTATGTAATTCAATTATCCACAGCATGAAGATATCTTCATAAGACCGTCTGAAAGCCTAGTCAGCGCAGGATAAGCCGAGCTGCTGACCGGTTTAGGCTCTCAGTCATGTGATCGGTTGGGGAGGGTGGGTTAGTTACTGTAGGTCATCAGCCCTCTTAATCTGCTCATAATATGGCCTGAAAAACAAAGTACTGTGAACATTTATATGCTGTAGCTCGATGAACTTTCACGTTCTGAATTAGAGTTTGATAGCGGCCGGCAATTCTTTGGGCCGCAGACGCTGAGGAGCTTCACAGTAATAATAATTCTAGCCGGGGCGTCGCTAGTGGGGGGAAAAGTGTGACACTACGATGTTCCCCCGACCCACCCACTTAACGTGGAAGGCCCCATAGCAAATACAGAGTCCAGAATTCCTAGCGACGCCACTGAATTCTAGACACAAGTGCTAATTATGAACGCGATTTATGCTGGGGCCTCTATTAGACACGTAACAACATAATCTGGGTGTAGGGATAAAAACAGCGCTTTACTAGTCAGGATTTTGTGTTCGGCTCGCAGGGGTTTGTGTCCAGTCAGTTTAGATCAGGCGCTCAATTCTGATCCTTCCTTCCTGTGATGTTTAGATTCAACACATGAAACAAATAATCAATATTTAAAGGTTTATTGAATACAATTACAAGCATATGTTTGTTAGAGAAGTAGATCTCTTAGATCTCCAGGAGCAGGGCTGGTTTTTATTGACTGGTGTTGATTAATTTTCTTTAACTGGTTTGCTGACTGCATTACAGCTCCATATCACTTCAGAAACAGACTTCAGAAAACCACTGGCCTTTACTCTCTTCACAACACTTCTGACTCTGCGTAAAAAAAGAACATTGCTTAAAGCAGACAATTGAAATGTGCAGCTTAAGATGGTGAATTTGGTACTCGAGCACAGCTTTGATGAGGCCTCAATTTCCCATCATAACACGTGACATACAGTACATGTATATTTACAATCCAGTAGCCTATAGAAAAGCAAACAACCCCCAAAAACTGTCACAGGATGTCAAATGCGATGGATCTTCCTCTTCCTTCCTCTACCTCATTTCCTGACACTTCTCTGTATGAGGAGAGACGTTCCCAATCCCACCACTCACCGAAATTATTACACCCTCACAAAAACAACGAGTATCAAACCATTGAGGCTAGGGGTGGGAATCTCTAGGCACCTCACGATTCGATTCTATTACGATTCAGAGGGCTGCGATGCGATGATAAATGATTATCGATGCATCTTGTTTTAATAGATTTTCTTTTTTCTCACTGTCTGACTATTAAAGCAGAGTATCTGGAATGACCCATAATGAATTTACTTTCAAGATTTTATTAATGAAACAAATGGAGGTGATTTTGCAAGTCAACAACAAGGTTACAAAGAACCAACGAGAAATGAAACATGTGCCTGTAGCAGCATACTTGTAGTACATTAATACAGACTTAAGCATATTCTGTAATATGGTTTCTCATATTTGTTGTGTTTCCACAATAATTTAGTTTGGCTTGACACAACTTGCATATAGTGTGGCTCTTGTCCAGGGTCTTTCCCCCTCCAGCCAGAAGCCAAAGTGCTTCCATACACTAGCTTTTAAGCTTTTAACGCAGACGGTGCAGGTCTGATTTCACGCGCCACCATCATGCATCTGTTACACCTTTAATAAAATAATACAGATACATGAATGCACAATAAAAATCACTACTAAAATACAAATACAAGTAGTTATCTAGACAAAATCAAATATAAGGAAAAGGAGAGAGAGATGGCGACAGGAGAAAGCAACATAGCCAAGAGCAATTAGTACAAAGAAGTCTACTGTCAAGAATACAGTACTACTGTTGACAGTGCTGAGTTGTCAGTAACCATTTTTTTAAGATGAAACTGAAAAGAACCATAAGTATCTAGTCTTCTACTTGTTGATGGGATGGAGTTCCATTCCCTTGCAGCTTTGACTGAGAATATAGACTGACTAAATTGACATCTTTTGAGAGGAATAATACAGTCCCCTCTTTCCCCACCCCTTGTAGACCGGTGAGCAGTTGTTCTAATATTCACAAACTGTTTTAATGGTGAAGTCAGGCTGTGTATAGTCTTAAAGGCTATATGGCAGTCGTGGCCTAATGGTTAGAGAGTCGGACTTGTAACCCGAAGGTCGGGGTTTCGAGTGTCAGGTCCGGCAGGGATTGTAGGAGTGGGGAGTGAATAACCAGCGCTCGCTCCACCTTCAATACCAGACTGAGGTGAGACCCTCGAGCAAGAACCGAACCCCCAACTGCTCCACGGCTGCCCACTGCTCCGGGTGTGTGTTCACGGTGTGTGTGTGCATTTGGATGGGTTAAATGCAGAGCACAAATTCAGAGTATGTGACACCATACTTGGCCACACGTCACTTCACTTTTTTTTTTTAAACAGTAGACAAATATGTACATATTTGATCAGGTTATCCCAGCTTAGCAAATTGTATTTTTTTTAGTATTGAGCAATGATGAAACTGAACTGATTTCTTATCAAGAGTTTTTAGTGATTGTTTATACAAAGACTCCAGTGGTTTCAGAGTAGTTATGCTTGCGACCAAGTAGCTAAACAATAAGTGATATGAGAAATAATCATGGAATGCACATACATCAAAGCGGCCTCAGACGATGTATAATCATGAATAAATCTAAAATCTGACAGACTAAATGTGACCCTGTTACAGACCTTTTTAACTTGAGCCTTAAATGAAACTCTGGAATCAATCAGAATACCGAGGTACTTATATTCAGTCTTTCCCCTGATACAGAAACATCTGGCACTACACTTGAACTATTAGTTTTGGTGAAGAACATACACACTGTTTTAGAGATGTTCAACTGTAAACAGCATTGTTCTAGCCAAGCTGTGATATGAACCAAGGATTCTGTATGTTTTTACTATATCCCTATTTCTGAATTAACATTCAGAAATGGAAAATCGTTTTTGTGAATCGATTCAGAATCGTCCACGTCCGCATCGCAATGCATCTAAGAATCAATTTTTTCCCCCACCCCTGATTGAGATCCCGTGTGGGATCTGGCTATAAGTCCATAAAAGAGCTACTCACATCACAAAACTTTTTCATGCGTGCCACATATATTCCAGCATCAGCGTCCCAGAGCTACAGTGCAGAGGGGAACCAGAAAGCAACAAGCAGCCAAACAATACAAATGCTGTTGGAGAACTTTCTGGATACTGTCTAAGATCACACTACAGTAGGGCTCAATCGAGCTGTGAAAGAACAGCAAAACAGTCAAAGCTGAAAACTGAAACGGGACAAAAATTACACATCCAAAAATGATATTAAAAAAAAAAATGGTTTGATCAAGACTTTCTAAGCAATGTGCAAGTGCCTCAGAATGCTGACCAATCAGAAACATGGAAACCCAAATAATAGAGACTCAACACTTTACTGTGAAACATTAAAACAACACAAAAAGCACAATATATTCAAAATCAACTGACAATAATTGAGAAAAAGTCAATAGAAACCAATGTTTGAACAACTGGAACAAACTGCAAAAAAAAAAAAAAACTGTCCATGAAAAACTTGGCAAACAAAAATGGAGAAAAATATGGGAAACTCATTTCCAAAAACAATTTATAAAA